GGAGTCATGGCTAGGCCTGTAATCTGTGGGTTCTTTTTTTTTTTTTCCTCCCAGTTATGTTGCCCTCCGAGATTCCAAAACTTCCACAGACCTACCGGTGAGAGGGTTTCCTGGTATTTGGAAACTTCTCCTTCATGACTCCCTCCCCAGGATGGGTCTCTGTCCCTAACTCCTTTGTTGCTCTTTTTATCTTTTATATTTTGCCCTACCTCCTTCCGAAGAGAAGCCTTTCTGGGTGCCTGGTGTCCTCCCCCAGCATTCAGAAATTGTTTTGTGGAATTTGCTCAGCGTTCAAATGATCTTTTGATGAATTTGTTGGGGAGAAAATAGTCTCCCCATCCTATTCCTCTGCCATCTTAGGACCACTGTTGGATTTTGATTTTGAAAAATAATAAAATCCATTCTTTTCCCTTAGGGCTACATTTATTGTTTAATTGATATCATGTAATTACTATATTTAGCCTTTATTCTTTTTGTTTAAATTGTGTGCTATTTAAACTTTGTGATATACTTAGTTCTGATTTTGAGAAGGTAATTGGTGATTATAGCTGGCACTTCTGACCTCTGATCCCCAAAACAGTCCCCTCTTGTTCTCACAAAACAAGACAAAAGAATAAGAGAGAGAGAGAGAGACAGAGAGAGAGAGGGAAAAAAAGAACTGATTAAAAAAAAATTATCAGGTGACTAAATGTTCAGGGAAACTGCCTGCTGCTCTCTGTAAGATAAAACATATCCTTAAGGTGTTTAGGGTGATCCTTTTCTCTTTTGCTAGTGATTAGTTTAGGGGTGGTCATGTGCTCCAATTCTAGCCAGTTTAAGAGGAAGTGCTGAGGATTCTGGCCAGGAGAGAAGCACAGTGAGAAGCCACCCTTTCTTTATGCTTTTGACACCCCTAGTAGGTGACAACTAACTCCTAATCAGTAAAGTAAAGCCTAGAGGAAGTACAGAAAATGATTCAAAGCTCTGAGCTAACCAACTCTGCATGCTTTCTTCTGGACTTCCTGTAACATGAAATGAAAACACATATCTCTAGTCTGACATTTCTATTACAACAGAAAGCACTCTAACAGAAACAGCACAAAAGTCATACAAACACACACATATAGTATTTATTTTACCTTTTTCTCATTACAAAAGCAATATATGTCTATTTTGGAAATTTGGGATGCAGGTATTCACAAGAAAGAAAATTTTTAAAAATGAGAGAGAACTATGTCAACACTTTTTACATACATTCTGTTGTTCCTATGCATGGAATTTGTATATTATATAATTTAAAAATTAAGCTAATTGTTTTACACCTAATTTTTAAACTTAATAGCCAAAAGAATTTTATTCTTTTTGTTTAAATGTGTGCTATTTAAACTTTGTGATATACTTAGTTCTGATTTTGAGAAGGTAATTGGTGATTATAGCTGGCACTTCTGACCTCTGATCCCCAAAACAGTCCCCTCTTGTTCTCACAAAACAAGACAAAAGAATAAGAGAGAGAGAGAGAGACAGAGAGAGAGAGGGAAAAAAAGAACTGATTAAAAAAAAATTATCAGGTGACTAAATGTTCAGGGAAACTGCCTGCTGCTCTCTGTAAGATAAAACATATCCTTAAGGTGTTTAGGGTGATCCTTTTCTCTTTTGCTAGTGATTAGTTTAGGGGTGGTCATGTGCTCCAATTCTAGCCAGTTTAAGAGGAAGTGCTGAGGATTCTGGCCAGGAGAGAAGCACAGTGAGAAGCCACCCTTTCTTTATGCTTTTGACACCCCTAGTAGGTGACAACTAACTCCTAATCAGTAAAGTAAAGCCTAGAGGAAGTACAGAAAATGATTCAAAGCTCTGAGCTAACCAACTCTGCATGCTTTCTTCTGGACTTCCTGTAACATGAAATGAAAACACATATCTCTAGTCTGACATTTCTATTACAACAGAAAGCACTCTAACAGAAACAGCACAAAAGTCATACAAACACACACATATAGTATTTATTTTACCTTTTTCTCATTACAAAAGCAATATATGTCTATTTTGGAAATTTGGGATGCAGGTATTCACAAGAAAGAAAATTTTTAAAAATGAGAGAGAACTATGTCAACACTTTTTACATACATTCTGTTGTTCCTATGCATGGAATTTGTATATTATATAATTTAAAAATTAAGCTAATTGTTTTACACCTAATTTTTAAACTTAATAGCCAAAAGAAATAAAGATTTAAATCAATTAATCCTAATTAGGGATTAAATTGAACCTTAATTTTAGTTTCCAAAAACACAATTTATAGTAGTTAGACAAGCTTTAGGAATTGGTTTGACACTGAAACTAGGCTAAAGATAAAACAAATGAATTTCAGATGTATTTTAACAGATGAAATTTAAATGTACTTTAACACAAATATTATATCTTTGAGGCTACCAAATAAGTTCTGAGACCAGGGCACCTAAAATTTTTTTCTAGTTCATTTACATTGATTTATGCTCCTGGGAAGATAATGTTTGTGGTACCTCAACAATTTTTGGTTTGTTTATTTTTAGCTATGGTGTCTCTGGTTTTTAGACTGAAGTTGAATTTGTGCAATCTTTGTTTAATTCATTGTTGTTTATTCATGTTATGTATGACTAAATTGAATTGCAAGAGGAAATCCATTTTTTAACCAGTTTTATATGCTAAATAGATGAAAAGACAGCCAAGATAGACTCTTAATTATCTGATACATTTGATTACAGAAGATACAAGGAATCCTCATCTTTTATTATGCCTGAAAATAGAGTAAATGACTATAATATCAAATATTAAATACTCTTTTTTGAGTGACATACTTTTAACTTAAAAGTTACATTTACCTTTTGCACTATTAATTTTGGTTTACATCCATATTCACATTATAATTTACATACCACAATATTTTATATAATATAGTTATTTCTGCAAAGTTTTTCATACATTTGTAGCCTTAAGAGAGTTTCCAAGGTTAACATGATGAGTGATCAAATTGAAATTCAGTTTCAATATTATTATGTATATGTAAACATGATCCATGTGGTCATGACTGCACAAACAGGTGAATACATTCTGATACATTTTTATAATAAACTTTTTTATAAATATACAAGATCAGTTGGGAATTCTTAATTTTTTGTGTGTGACATTGCTTCTTTGGCAGGCTGATTTGGCTTATAAACTTCTCTCAGGATAATGTTTGTTTTTTGTTTTTTTTTTTAGGATAATGTTTTTAAGTGCGTAAAATAATAGAAATAGGAATCAAAGAAAAGTTATTCCATTGAAATACTTTTGTGCATGGAGCACAGGTTAAAAACACCTGCACAAAGATTTTGAATAGCCCTTTAGGTAATATATTTTAAAAAACATGCCTGAGAACATATCTAAATATGTTCTCTAAAAACAGTTCCATGAACAAAGCCAAACTGACGTATGTTTTATAAACACATATCTACTAAAGCCCTTAGATTGTATCTCATATATTTTTGCTTTTAAATCCACACTCAGAATTGTTATAAGTTTATGAGTAAGAATACACATGATAAAGAGACAAGGAAGAAGAATGATTTTGTTGTGACTTATCTATATATTCCTGTGTCATCTAGCAGAACTGTATATTCTTGGTATCAATATACACACCTTTAAAGTTAACTTTGTGTATTTTAGCACTTTACAAATTTTGAGTCCAGCCTAATTCAGTTGTGGAGTTAGGTCATTGATTGGCTAATTAAAGGTATGAGTTTAGTAAAAAGAAGATGTGAATGAAAAAAAGTAGAAGGAATTCAATTAATGAAGACAGAATTGGAAAATAATATAGAATGTGGAAAAAAAAACACACCACACCCTACAAAACTAAAAGACAAAGTATAAGGAGAGAAAAATAAGGAAAGTAAAGACCTACTGTTAGTTTAATTAGCAATTTACTTTCCACGGTTACACAAGGCCTGGAATGTGTGGAAATTACATTTCAACTTCAGTGTGGCAGTACATATCACATGTGAATAAAGTAATATTTTACCTGTTTAAAAAAATAAACAGTGGTTGAGTTTAAGTCCCTTATATAGTTTTCTTATTTAGTGGATACTAAAGGACCCTTTCATCCTATTCCCCTTTTCGTGGAATGTGTGGAAACAGGCCTGAATTAAAAGAGGTGTTGTGCCAACATATTTTGGAAACTACACCATCTAATGCGAATATCAGTGGATGTTAGTTACACATTTACAGAGAGGTTTTCTTTTCCTTTTTCTAATACTCTTCTGCCTTTCCTCTATTACTCTTTTGACTTGTGGTAGTGAGACTGAGGTTTTTTAGAGTTCATTTTACCTACCAAATAATATTTTGCTTGTGCATTTGCTTGATCTCTCTTTTTTTTTTAAAGTGATTTGTGAATTATGGATTTAGACAGATCAGAAGACACAAAAAATCCATCATCTTAAAAGAGAGGATATATTATTTATAAAACATATCACTATAGATCTTTTCTTGATTGTATATTAAAACAATGTTGTTATTACTGCACTTAATTACCACAAACTCCATAGACTACATAGCTGACAGGAATGTTCTATCTCCCAGTCCAAATCTGAACCCCTCTGAAACTCCCTTTTATATGGAGGTACTTCACAACCTGTACCAGGTGAAGAATGGGATGAAGGAGAACTATAAGTCTTGTCAAGTTGAAGGAGTGGACAGTGGGTTGGTTGCTGAATACTTCAAACATCAGAATGCTTTTGAAGCCAAGGAAAAAATTAGATTCATTGCATTTTTTCTTAACCCACAGGAGGAAAAACTGATCATATGAGCAGGGGAAATACTATCTGTGCTTTATGTATTTATTATCTTAGCATAAGATTGTAATTGTTGCTAAGCCCCTTTGCAGTAAAAGGTCTGTGTTTCTCAGTGTTAATTTTTGGCATTTGTTTGCCTTAGGCCGTGGCTATTTTAAATATTTATATATTATTATACAAGAATAAAGTGACTAAAAAATTCCTTTTATTTTTTTTTGGGGTTTCGGAAGGCAAGGGGTTTATTTCAGAAATGCGTGATTAAGTGAAAATATTTCATTATTTTTCCTGAAAAAAATCTTTTCCTTGTAATTGAGTTTCTGTGATTTCTAAAGGAAGAAGCATAATATTACCTTAAACTCTGCTTTATTTATGTGTAAATATGTCACAATATGCTTTGTGTTTCTCATTCCCAAAAAGGGAAATTCATCACTTTGCGTTTCTTTGACTTTCTATGCAGTCTAACAATTATAGAGAGAAATATCCATATATAAGTGGATCAAAGCATGGATTTAAAAAAGCAAAGAGAAAGAAGAAGTGATTTACTGGATCTGACACCCTGTTTACCATGTCAGGATCAAACCAATACCAAATTCCAAGTACATAATAGGGCGTCCAGCAGACAGTAAACGAAGTGGCAAATGCAACCGTCATCTTTAGGGTNAAAAAGCAAAGAGAAAGAAGAAGTGATTTACTGGATCTGACACCCTGTTTACCATGTCAGGATCAAACCAATACCAAATTCCAAGTACATAATAGGGCGTCCAGCAGACAGTAAACGAAGTGGCAAATGCAACCGTCATCTTTAGGGTTCTCTGCCGAGCTCGTGGTATATTGTTCTTGGACTGATTCAGTTGTAGTTCTTTCAAACAGAGAAAATAGAAGGTGTTTTTAATGATCAGTTTTATTACAAAGCAAAAATAGAGAAAAAGGAGGAGAGAGTAGTAATTCAACCTGGTGAATATAATGGAGGCAAATTGCTAGTATTTTTAACAATGACAATGGGCTTCCCTGGTGGCTTAGAGGGTAAAGCGTCTGTCTGCAATGCAGGAGGCCTGGGTTCGATCCCTGGGTCGGGAAGATCCCCTGGAGAAGGCAATGGCGCCCCACTCCAGTACTCTTGCCTGGAAAATCCCATGGACGGAGCAGCCTCGTAGGCTACAGTCCATGGGGTCACAAAGAGTTGGACACGACTGAGCGACGACACGACACATGCTTGCAAAGCATGTTTATATTTCAAGTTTTCCACTCTGCTACATAATAAATAGAAATATTAAAGATAGTAATGCTCTTAAAATTAATTTCCCATCAAACTAATAAGGATTTGAAATATGAGGTTTCTCAAATTCTTCAATTTACTCAAATTCTTCAAATATAAATTTAAGAGAGTAGACTGAGGTTGAACTGAATTTAATTCTCTCCTTTTTGGTTGTTATGCCAACATAGCAACACTTATTTTATAAATTTGTAACTTTTCACCTTTCCTGACTGACCAAGCAGGAAGCCCTGTTGCCATCATAGGAGGTGATGTAAGCTTGGTACAGGCAAGAAACACGTGCACTGGATTGGTGTCAGAATCCTAGTTGGCATTAAGGACATTTAAGGAATAATACACGATGGAGGAGTTGAAGGACATTAGCTCACCTCTTCTTATAGAAACACCAAAATCAAAACTAACTGCTGAACAGCCATCAACAACAACAACAAAAAAAAAACCACTGGAACCTACCAAAGAAGATATGCTACATCCAAAGATAAAGAAGGAGACACAATGAGATGGTATGAGGGGTACTGCTGCTGCTGCTAAGTCGCTTCAGTCGTGTCTGACTCTGTGCGACCCCATAGACAGCAGCCCACCGGGCTCCCCCGTTCCTGGAATTCTCCAGGCAAGAGTACTGGAGTGGGTTACCATTTCCTTCTCCAATGCATGAAGGTGAAAAGTGAAAGTGAAGTCGCTCAGTCTTGTTGGACTCTTCGCGATCCCATGGACTGCAGCCCACCAGGCTCCTCCGTCCATGGGATTTTCCAGGCAAGAGTACTGGAGTGAGGTGCCATTGCCTTCTCCAGGAGGGGTGTGATAGTGATAAAATAGAATTCCATACACACCAGGTGGGTAACCCACAAACTAAAATAATAATTAGACCATAGAAATTCTCCCACAGGAGTGAACGTTCTGAGTCCCGCCTCAAGCTCCCCAGCCTGGGGGTCTGGCAATAGGAGGAGCCCCCAGAGAATCTGTCCTTGAAGATCAGCAGGGTTTGATCTTAGGAGTTAAACAGGACTGGAGGAAACAGAAACTCCTCTATTGGAGGGCACACACAAAGTCTCGTGAATACTAGGACCCAGGTTAAAAATGGGGACCTCATAAGACACTGAGTTATGTTTGCCTGCTAGTATTGGAGGGTCTCCTGAGGAGGCAGAGGGTGGTTGTGACTCACTGTCAGGACAGGGACACTGACTGTGGTAGTTCTGGGGAGTACTCATTGGTGCTCATTAGTCCAATTAGTACAATGAGTCCAAGGACTCATTAGTCCTCTGGAAGGCTGCCATTTTCACACACTAGACTCATGAACTAACTTATGTGATTGAATGTGTGAAGGCACACTCATATCTTTGAAAGTTCACAACTTGGTTTGTATATAGAGGATTTACTGTGTTTAAAGTGATGAAAGAACCCATAACCAGAAGTACTCTGCTCAGCAAGGCTCTCATTCAGATTCAATGGAGAAATCAAAAGCTTCACAGACAAGCAAAAGCTAGGTGAATTCAGCAACACAAGACCAGCTTTGGAGCAGATGCTAAAAGAAGTTCTCCAGCGGGAGAAGAAAAGGTCACAACTAGAAATAATAAAATTATGAATGGAAATGCTTACTGGTGAAGGCAAACATACAGTAAAGGTAGGAAATCATCTGTAGACGAATACAATATCAAAACCATTAACTGTGAGGAGAGCATAAATGCAAGATACTGGAAAGGCATTTGAAATTAAAAGACCTGCAACTTAAAACAGTCTTGTTTTTTATATAGGCTGCTATATCAGAACCTCATGGTAACCACAAACCAAAAATTTACAATAGATAACACACACAAAAAAGAAAAAGGAATCCAAACACAATACTAAAGTGAGTCTTAAATCAGTCCTAAATATCCATTGGAAGGACTGATGCAGAAACTGAAGTTCCAATATTTTGGCCACCTGATGTGAAGAACTGACTCATTGAAAAAAAACCCTGACACTGGGAAAGATTGAAGACAGGAGAAGCATTGGATGAGATGAGATGAGATGAGATGGTTGGATGGCATCACCAACACGATGGACATGAATTTGAGCAAGCTCCAGGAGTTGGTGATGAACAGGGAAGGATGGCATCACCGACTCGATGGACATGAATTTGAGCAAGCTCCAGGAGTTGGTGATGAACAGGGAAGCCTGATGTGCTGCAGTCCATGGGGTCCCAAAGAGTCGGACATGACTGAGTGACTGAACTGAACTGAAAGTCATCAATCACAAGAGAAGACAACAAAATAGGAAGGGAAGGAAAAAATTTACAAAAACAATCCCCCCAAAATGAACAAAATGGCAATAGGAACATTCATGTCTATAATTATCTTAAGTGTAAACAGATTAAACAGTCCAACCAAAAGACATAGACTGGCTGAGTGGATACCAAAACAAGACCCATATATATGCTGTCTACAAGAGACACACTTCAGATCTAGGGATACATACAGATGACAAGAGTCAGATAAGACTTGGCAACCACCACCACAGACTGAACGTGAGGGGATGGAAAAAGGTATTCATTCAAAAAGTAGATAAGCAACAAGGGATTATTGTATAGCACAGGGAACTCTACTCTGTTCTAAAATAACCTAAATGGGAAAAGAATGCGAAAAAAAAAACAAAACACATGTATATGTATAACTGAATCATTTTGCTGTACATCAGGACTTAATACCATATTGCTAATCAACTATACTCCAATATAAAATTTTAAAAATTCATACATTTGTTTTTGAGAATACAACAGGTTCTTGGAGCAAAAATGGTACGATCATGTGCGTGGAGTGAAAGATCTAATAGTCAATTGCATGTTCCATAATATTTAGCACACTCAACACACACACCAAAATGTGCATAGTGTGTGGATACACCATGTGTATACAGAAGATTTGAATGTGATACAGAACAGCTTAACTTTAACAAGTATATTGGCAACTATATTATGAGTTGTACTTTGCTATATTTTAGGCATCAGGTGTTTGATAGAGTATCATGATGAACCAACAGGAACAATTTGCCCATGCTTCTGCTGGTAAATGAAGTAATTGTCCTTTTAGCTTTAATTCCATGCTGTAAATTTATAATATGGGGAGATATTAAATTACCTCATCTCTAAATTGGGGATAATAAAAGTATTGCCTCATGGGGTGATTCTGAATATTGAAAGAGCTAATTAATGTATGTAAGTTGCTCATAATAGTTTCATAACACTATTACAATACAATATAATACTATTACAGGTAAAATAGTATCTGGCATAGCAAGTGCCACTCAAATTCTCTGGTTGAGTATTGCCATTAACAACTGTCCACCCACAATTAATCTGAGGAATACATACTGTGGGGATCCTGATGAAGGACACTTGTCAGGGTGAAGATGATTTTTGCATTGCAGATCACCATGATGAGAAGAGGGATGATGAAGAGGCAGCTGAAGGTGAAAAAGTTATAAAAGGCTTGATGCCACCACTGTGGAAAACTGCAGTGTGTTACACATTGAGAGAAACCTTCAGTCTGTCCAGAGTCATCTGTTAAATGGATCATCCCAAAAATGTATAACTGTAGGAGAAAATTTAAAAAAATTAAAAAGGGAAGTTGCTTATTTTCAAACAATATTTGCAAGTTTTCTCAGAAGTTTTCTCTTCTGTGTTGTACTAATCTTCTAACATGTTGTTGCCCAAAGCAACTGCTAAGCTTCTTGACGTTTGGCTTTTGGCTTCTCTACAAAAATTTGTAAGTGGATCTTTACTTAAAATATGTTTGAGTAATGTGAATGGATCTGTAGGATTTTGAATTTCTTCGGAAATTATTTCAGCCTTGCAGAACAATCTCCAACCAAAGATTTAAACCTCCTCTGTATTTCAATTTCAGATGCTATTATGATGAGTAAAATTTTTGCAAGTGATTTTATTGTTAAATCTGCAGCACAAAAAAAACTGTCTGGCATTTAGAATATGCCCTCAAAAGAAATATTTAAATTTTAATTTTGAAACATAAGATCTCATTAAAATGGTCAGAAACATGTACAGACAGTTCATTAAAAAAAGGGTATAACAATGACCCTTGAGCATATAAAAACATATTTTCAACCTCACTTATGATAAGAGCAGTGTCAATCAATTAAAGCTACACTGATATGCCATTTCCCACTATCACGTTTGGCAAAATTAAAAAAAAACAGTAACACACTCTCATGGCAAGGCTATAGGGAAACAGAGACTCTCATACTTTGTTAATGGGCATGCAAATTGGTACATCATTAAGGAGAGGAATTTGGCAATAATCAGTATATATTTGTACTTACCTTTGACTCAGCAATCTGACATTCAGGAGTTTACCATGAAGATATACCCCTACTTCCATATATGAAAATACATATGCACAGGATTATTCACTGAGGCATTGTTTATAAGTGAAAAACACTGAAAATAATCTAAATACCAATTCATAGAACAGCAGCTGAATAAACTATGGTGGACCACACAATGGAGTCCTGTATAGTAGTAAAAAAAGAGGAAGGGAAATTTCTATCTGAAGGTGTGTGTGTGTATGTACATACATTTATTCTAGCTCTGTGTGGAGAGAGGTTAAGTCACCTAAGACTTATATCTAAGACATCTACAATGTCATCTAAGTAGCAGTGAGCATATCCTGCTCTCCAACACCCCTATTTATTTTTAGTATCATTCTCTACCAAAAGGAATCAGAGCTCATTGGCGAAGTGCGTAATCCCAAGGCTGGGGCAATCGAAGCACAGTAAGTCGTTGGAACAGATGCTGTGCCAAAAAGTCTGGAAATGCCCAGAGAATGATGGAGCATGTGAAAAATTTCAGGTACCAGCTTAAAAGAGCTCCCATTGGCCAAATCTGGGATAGTTTAAGCATGAAAACAAACAAACAAACCCTGATAGAAAAGAATAAGAGTTCAAATAAAGAAAGAAACCATGACTCCATGCTGATGTAAATGACAAAACAACAATAAGAAATACATGGGGAAAGGGAAAAGCTCTTTACTATAGAAAGTAAGAAACAGTGGAAGTAGTGATTACCATTTTGTAATCACTGTAATAGTAATTGATTCAGGCAAGAATCACCAATGGTAAAAATATGGGTGTAAGTTTGAGGAAAGTAGTTTATTTATGTCATCTCAAAGTATTTATCTGTAGAATGCATTGCATTATAAACAGTAAAATAATAACTTTACAGTAGAGAAATAACCAAATAATTAAGCTAACATTGTCAAGAATGGGACAGATTGACAGCATCTGCTTCCTTCTAGAAAGCACTGAGAAGAATTTAGAGTCACCTCTTTGATGATTTTGTTAAAAATCAAATCAGTCAATCCTAAAGGATATCAATCCTGAGTATTCGTTGGAAGGACTGATGCTGAAGCTGAAGCTCCAATACTTGGGTTACCTGATGGGAAGAACTGACTCATTAGAAAAGATCCTGATGCTGGGAAAGATTGAAGGCAGGAGGAGAAGGGGACGACAGAGGATGAGATGATTGGATGGAATCACCGACTCAATGGACATGAGTTTGAGCAAGCTCTGGGAGTTGGTGAAGGACAGAGAAGCCTGGTGCGCTGTATTCCATGGGGTCTCAAAGAGTCGGACACGACTGAGCGACTGAACAACAACGATGTAGACAAAGAATGCCACCTACAATATCAGTAAACAAAGGATGTTGTGTTCATCAAGCTATTAGCCACTGCATTTACCCTCAGGAGTGCTCCCTAAGGAGTGGATTTGGGATGGAGGAAAGTAGAAACGTGGCCCTAGATAGTTGAGGTGATGTATCAAAGGAATGATTTAAATAAGCCCAAACTCTTGCATCTTCCTGTCCTAAGAAAAGCACTACATTCATTAACCTGAGATGTATGGTTTTTCTTTAATTAGTGATAATCTTCTGATGTTCTGACTACAGGTTTTTGCTGCAAAGAAGCCTCCTATTAAAAAATCCTGGCTCCTCCGTTGCCTCTTATGAGTTGGGAGCAATCTGAGAGACTGCTTCTCAAAAGTCTACTGAATAAAACATATTTCTCAACTTTTAGGTCGTAGACTTTTTTTTTCAGTTGACAAGTGCACAACCTGAATCTACCCCCAAGAAAATATCAGACAAACTCAAATTGAGGGGCATTCTACAAAATAACTGGTCTGCACTCTTCAAAAATGTCAGTGTCATGAGATACAAAGGAAGACCAAGAAACTGTTCTAGTTTAAAGGAGACTAAAGAGACAACGGGGCTTCCCAGGTGGCTCAGTGGTAAAGGATCTGCCTGTCAATGCAGAAGACACAGGTTTGATCCCTGGGTTGGGAAGACCCCCTGGAGTAGGAAATGGCTACCCACTCCAGTATTCTGCCTGGAAAATTCCATGGATAGAAGACCTGACAGGCTATAGTCCATGGGGTGAGAAAGAGTTGGACACGACTGAACATGCAAGCAAAGAGACAAGGTGGCTGAACCTCCTGCATAATCTTGAATTTTCTTTCATTAAAGGGGATATTATTGAGACAGCTGAGATATGAATAGGGCATATAGATTAAATAGTAGTACTGTTCAGTTCAGTTCAGTCACTCACTTGTGTCTGACTCTTTGCAGCCCCATGGACTGCAGCACGCCAGGCTTCCCTGTCCATCACCAACTCCTGGAGCTTGCTCAAACTCATGTTCATAGAGTCAGTGATGCCATCCAACCATCTTATCCTCTGTCGTCCCCTTCTCCTCCTGCCTTCAATCTTTTCCCGCATCAGGGTCTTTTCCAAGGAGTTCTTCGCATCAGGTGGCCAAAGTATTGGAGCTTCAACTTCAGCATCATTCCTTCCAATGAATATTCAGGACTGATTTCCTTTAGGATTGATTGTTTTGATCTCCTTGCAGTCCAAGGGACTCTCAAGAGTCTTCTCCAACACAACAGTTCAAAAGCATCAATTCTTTGGCGCTCAGCCTTCTCTATGGTCCAACTCTCACATCCATACATAACAACTGGAAAAACCATAGCNTATTTCTTTTATTTGTAATTAAAATGCTGATTTTCAGTTTGTGATCTTTTCAGCTTCTTGGGCAAACAAGAATTTTTAAGTTAATCCACTAGAGGGCGCCCAATGATCATGCTGCTGCCGCTAAATCGCTTCAGTCGTGTCCGACTCTGCGACCCCATAGACGGCAGCCCACCAGGCTCCCCCATCCCTGGGATTCTCCAGGCAAGAACATTGGAGGGGGTTGCCATTTCCCTCTCCAATGCATGAAAGTGAAAAGTGAAAGTGAAGTCGCTCAGTCGTGTCTGACTCTTAGCGACCCCATGGACTGCAGCCCACCAGGCTCCTCGGTCCATGGGATTTTCCAGGCAAGAGCACTGGAGTGGGGTGCCACTGCCTTCTCCGAATGATTATATTATCGATCTTAAAGTCAAGAAAAGCAAGTTCAGCTAATTCTATTTTATGATCCAGGTTAGTTTTTTCCATGTTACAAAGTGACCCTTTCAGTTTTCCATACTTCTTTGCAAACTGACCTTATATAAAGTTGAGTTTTGAATTTGACCTAACAGGTGTTGTAAATTGAGATCTTTGGAAGGGATTTTTCACATAGACCCTGAGAGTCTTCTAATTCTTAAAAATCCTTTTTTCTTTCCACCTCCCTAGTCAGCCTTGGAACCAGATAATCTGAATTTGATTTTCTGCTCTGCATTGGGTCACGTTTTCACTTTAATAGTTCATATTTTTAAGTTATAATGATGAATCTTTCAATAAAAAGGATGTTACAGTACTATGATTTGAATTTGGTTTTCATCTTTATGTAATGAATGCTTGTTTTTAAAGCAACTCCTTGGTCATAAAACTATACTAGGTACACTCTTTCATGAAAGATGAACTAAATATATCATGCTATCAAAGAATTAAATATTTCTTAGGGGAGATACCCCATGTATGTGACAACTGTAATACTCAATACACTGTGACAAGTTCTGAAGGAGAGTTATAGTGTTATGAAAATTCAGAATTTTACTCACCCACAAACTAATTTGTTTTAGGCTTCATTCAGTTTATTTTCAACTCCAAGACCATGTTCATTTGAATGATTAATATAGGGATACACTTTACTTCCGGTGATTCTTTCATACTTGGATGTTATTTTTAAAATTTCTTTGTTTCCCCTCTCTCATGCCTGGCCCCAGTTCTCATCAGTGTTTCCTTTATTTTGCCCTAAACAATAGCAGTTTGTTCTCCACCTTTACAGTCCCTTGCAGATGTTATTCCTCTTAGCATATAATTTTTAACCTTTGCCTTACCCCATACTAGTGACACTATGACTTAATCCTTCCAAAGGTGATTATCTTTAGATGTTGTGCTTTAGGTTCCTCTTGGAATTCCCTGGTAAATGCAAAGTAGAAAACCCGGGTTCGATTCCTGGGTTGGGAAGATTCTCTAGAGAAGAAAATGGCTTCCCACTCCAGTATTCTTGCCTGGAGAATTCCATGGACAGAGGAACCTGATGGGCTAGGGAGATATAAATAGTATTTATCTCTAGGGACTGTCATGACAATTAACAAGTGAATACTTGC